ATGACATACCCAACACAAGTACAAGTAACAGTTTCGAAAAGGAAAGGACATTTTGTGCACTTTTAAAATTCTTTTGTTGTTCTGCATAACATTTTGTCTTTAGGCTTATTTTGGCTTGGCTTATTTTTGCATGGCATTTTTGGGACAGTTACTTTTTCAAGACATGAACAGTTGCTCTCTCAGCTGACCATTTTGCTTTTAAACTCTAGTGTGCGCGGACACACACAGTTTTTTGCGGGGAGGACTGTTAGCGGCACGTGCCGCAAACACAGGATGTCACGTTCTTGTCTTGTCGTGTACGACGCAACAAGAAATTATTAAAGAAACATCAAGAAAGACAAAACCCAATGATGAGAATAAAACTAAAATTGACATAAGTATTTCTGCTGCTTATAACACACACGTATCTGAATCAATATGTACATCACGTATGATTGCACATATATCTGATGCATATCTATCGTACAAACTGTCTAATCTACAGAAAAGAAAAGAAAATACATACTATAACGGTTTCAAGTATGACTAACATGAAACACGCACTGATAAGATTTTTATCGTTTATTGGCTAAAGCTGTGTTTATTATATTGTTCCCTTGACTGAAAGTCTTGGGTAATACAAACGAAATGTCCGTCCGTCCACCCGTCCGTGCACCGACATATTGACATTGGACGAGGAAAAACACGTAATAACTACTTTTCTTAGCAGCAAGGCATCCTGGGTCTGCGAGCCTTGAATAGAAAATGTCAGAGATGAAATTTCACATATTTTATCTGCTGGCATCAGTTTCGTTAATTAGCGAAAAAAACGCTAATTTTTATAATTAACACTTTTCACCATGAAGCAAGCATCTGACAAATCTGGCTCTCGAACCGAAAATGTCCGAAATTAAATTTTACATATTTTATCTGCTGGCACCAACTTCGTGGTGATCTGGAATGACGGATTGTTGGATATGCTTTAGTCCCTTGACTGAAAGTCTTGGGTCATACAAACGAAATGTCCGTCCGTCCGCGCGCAGTAGTAATTTGGTCCAATCAGGGTTTGGGTTTTGTTGAAGTTGGTGGTTGTGTGTGTTTGACGGACAGGTTGGTGTGTGTGTTGCTGTGTATCGGGTTTCGTTGACAGTGCGTGTCGTTGGTGGTATTGTTGTGGTGCGAGTGGTCGCTTTGGTGCGACACCTGGTAGTTGGTGTGTGTGGTGTTTCGTAGTTGTATGTTCAGCACCGGTGTGTTTGTGGTTTTGTGTGGCTGTTCTTTCTAGAGTGTCGAGAGCCACATGCTGTTGCTGGGGTGCGGATTCGTTTATGGTGTACGGAGGTTTTGGTTAGGTTGTGTCACTCATGCTTTTCGTCATTTGTTTTTGCTATTAGTTTTGTTTTGGGGTGGACTGTATCGTGTGTTTTCGAGGTAGCGGTTTGTTTATTGATTGTTTGGAAGTTCTTTTCGGAGTAAGTCTTTCTGCAGTTCGGAATGAAGGAAGAACTGCCGAAACGGTTGGCAGTGACTTGTTCGTTGATGTTAATTAGAATGTTTAGTGTTGACGCGTATCTCGCCGTCTGGTAGCTTGCCTGGCTTGCTCGTTTTGGGGATATTTTGAGGGCGTATTTGTTTCTTAGATGCCAGCCAGAGTTAGCTTTTTAAACTTCCCGTGGGGAGCCAGAGAAAACTACTTGTGAACTTTCGGAAGAAGTAATACGAATATTTTCCTCATTTTGGACTATTTTCAGAGGATCAAAAGTTTTTCACAATGACTTCTAGACGTATCAAAATCAGTTTTAAGTAGATAACTCGAGTAGTTTTATTCAACCATTTTTTATACATAGAATAAAAAGCAGTTTAGATACGGTACATGCCAAAGTATGTTCATAGCGCCTCAACCATGGTTTTTGACAATGTTGCATAGTTCCAGGAGACTTTTGACTATCTATCTAAGCAAAAAAATCAATAGATTACTATTTGAATTTGAGAAAATCAAAGCTAATTTTCCAAAGCTGCTCTGGAAAACCACCTTCGGAAATTTTCCGAAAACCTATTTTCCTTGTGGAAAGATAGCTTCAGATGTGTAGTTTCCAAAAAACCACAGGTCTCTGTCTTCATTTCCCTCTCAGTTATTTAAAAAATGGCAACCTGCATTATATTCTGGGATGGATAATAATTTTGATGATAGTCATTGTAGCTGACTTTTTAAATATAATGCACAGGTCTAATTACAATAAAAGCTAGCTCATCTTATACGCTCCGGACTTCTACCCAACTCCGAAACCTCTTTTAATAGTTTCGTGACTCTGTTTGAAACTAACAAGGGTTTCGCACATTTGTGCGGAACTAACGACGTTTCGCCAGTATGAGGAAAAAAGAGATTCCGGGCAGATGTCGGAAACAGCGTTACGAACGTAAAACGATTATTCTGGGCTTACAGAATTAAGTTGAGAATAATTCTTTTAATGATCGGATAGCCGGGTTGATTAGGCTACAAATGGCTGAGAAAGAAAAAAATTTTATCGTTCGTTTTGAGAAAATTTGTGAAAAATCTGCCAACCATCTGATGGGCCTCTTTGTTATAAGCTTTATTTGATAACTATGATGTAGTGTATAAAAAAAGAATGAAACAGAACACAACAAGAAGAAAGGCGAACTCATATCTTTTTGTTTTGTCGATGTTACATCGTAAAGAACGAAAGAAAAACGAAAATACGGAAAAAATGCACTTGAAAGCGAAGAAACGAAGGTGTAGGAGAGAGTGATGGTATGTCTCACAAAACAGAAATGAGATAAGCTGCGTACTTTTGATATATTCTACGATTATTTTATACAGCTGGGTAATTGTAAAGTCATCGATATTTTCTAGTCTTTCTGACAGTAAAATGTGCTTAAGTGTGAAGGATAACCCAGATGCTAACTAACTAACAAGAGTATCGCACATCTGTGCGGAACTAACGACGTTTCATACGCCAGTATGAGGAAAAAAAGGCTCCGAGCAGACGTACGAAACCATCCAAAAGTTATTGGGATTGTACTTAGGCGTAGAACCTTTTTTTAATTTTGCAAGGAACCTTTTCTTTTTACCAAGTAGGTAGTCAGCATAGAGGGAAGTAGTTATGAATCAGATAAGATCCTGTAAGAGGTGTTAGAATTGGTACTAGTTTACAGGATCCGATTTGCTTCCTACACGGTTTGCAATATCCAACTTCTCCATAGGAACTAGCAAAATTTCTGATCGGAAAATGCTACTATTCTCTAAATATGTCTTGTGTTTTAGTGATATTAAAATCATTATGCTTTATCCGATAACCATCATCATAATCCATTTGTCGACAGTTTCTTCGTCAAGCAAAATAATTGAATCAATATATCGCGGCTCAGCTA